CAGACTGTTATAACAAACAAGATATAAAAGTAGCACACAAACCGACGAATACATTACAAAAATTCTTCAACAAGATAAAGTCGAAAATCCCGATGATCGAAAAAAGCAACGTCGTTTACCAAATACCATGTGGCGGGGATAACAACAACAAGTGCAATAGTGTCTACATAGGTACAACAAAATCGAAGCTAAAAACAAGGATTAGTCAACATAAATCGGACTTCAAACTAAGACATCAAAATAATATACAGAAAACAGCACTTATGACCCATTGTATAAGAAGCAACCACACACCAAATTTTGATGAAACAACAATCTTACAACAAGAACAACACTATAACAAGCGACACACATTGGAAATGCTACACATAATTAACACACCAACCTACAAACGACTAAACTACAAGACAGACACAGAAAATTGCGCTCACTTGTACAGACACCTCTTAAACAGTCAAACAACCTCAGTAACAATCTCCACGTCAAAAAGCGCAGACGTGTAAAATAATGTATGTAAAATGTTCGAAATAATGTTTAATTTATTGTATTATAATTGTTAATTGTTTTTTGTATCTTGGTGTTAGTGCCCTGAAGACGGTTTGCCGATGTGCAACCGAAATATATCGGAAGAGAATTGAATAAAATTGTTTTTCATTGTTTGTTTTAACAAACACGGACCTCGAGCCAGCCAACAAATAAATATTGAAATATGGAAAGGTCGCCAGAGCCATCAATAAATATCAACGGAAGGCACGCCGTATGCACAGCAACCAACATGAGCTACGCAAAAATAAAAACTAAATACAAGGATTCGAAAAGAACAATTAATAAATTCCAACTAACACTGGTAAAATTAACTAAACTTAAATCTAGTTTAAAATTTTTGTTAAAATGTAGAAAATCAAATTTAATACCTAACTTCATCAAAAACTTGACACAGCATTTGACCATACTGACCACTGACAATAAAACCCACCCTGACATAACAAGAACATTGACTAGACACACACATTTTTACCATACCAAAATATTAAACTTACTTATAAAACACAAACACAACCTATTACAAGAACAAACAAAACATATGCAAAAAGCAAAAACAAACATAGAACAACTGATGACCACAGATGACGCAAAAGCGTTTTTTGAGAGCGAGAGAAATATAGAAAACAAAATAACAACAACACTCAAGAAAAGACAAGAAACGAAACACGATAAGTTACGAGATCAACGGAACCTAGCCTTAGCGGATAACAACACGCAAAGAGAGTGGTTTGTAAACAAAACAAAAATAGAATTCCCGCCAAACGTCGTAGCGTTACTCGCAAAAGGGCCGAAGTTCGCTCTCCCAATCAGCAAGAGAGATTTTCCTCTCTTGAAATACATCGCAGACGGTGAGGAGCTAGTGCAAACAATAAAAGAAAAGGAAACACAAGAGTCGGCGCGCACAAAATTCTCTTTGTTAGTCAAAGAGCATAAAACCAAGAACAACCAAAACAGTAGGGATCGAGCAATACTGGACACAGTGGAACAGACACGAAAATTACTGAAAGAAAATATAAATATTAAAATTCTATCGTCGGATAAGGGCAACAAAACCGTAGCAATGGATGAGGATGAATATAAAAATAAAATGACAAATATTTTAGACGACTTATGCGCGTATAGAACATTGAGACTGGATCCGACATCAAGACTACAGACAAAGAATAACACCTTCGTAGCACAATTATTCAAGATGGGTCTTATTTCAAAGGACGAAAGAAATAAGATGACTACAACAACAGCGGTACCTCCGAGGATATATGGACTACCAAAAATACACAAGGAAGGAACTCCACTGAGACCAATATGTTCTTCCATAGGATCTCCATCTTACGGGCTGTGCAAATATATAATACAAATATTAAAAAATCTGACAATGGACTCTAGGTACAACATCAAGAACGCGGTAGATTTTAAAGACAGAGTCAACAACTCCCAGATTAGAGAAGAGGAAACATTAGTATCTTTTGACGTAGTATCCTTATTTCCCAGCATACCAATAGAATTAGCACTTGACACAATAAGACAAAAATGGACCAAATTAGAAGAGCACACGAATATACCGAAACAACTATTTATGGACATAGTTAGATTTTGCATACAGGAAAACAGATATTTCAAATACGAAGACAAAATATACACACAACTTAAGGGAATGCCAATGGGATCACCGGCTTCCCCAGTAATCGCAGATATATTAATGGAGGAACTGTTGGACAAGATTACAGATAAATTAAAAATTAAACCAAGACTCTTGACCAAATATGTAGATGACCTTTTTGCCATAACGAACAAAATAGACGTGGAAAATATTCTAAAAGAATTGAATTCCTTCCACAAACAGATAAAATTTACAATGGAATTAGAAAAGGACGGGAAATTACCATTTTTAGACTCTATTGTAAGCAGAATGGACAACACACTCAAAATAAAGTGGTATAGGAAACCCATAGCCTCCGGACGAATACTCAACTTCAATTCAAACCACCCAAAGAGTATGATAATCAATACAGCACTAGGCTGTATGAATAGAATGATGAAAATATCGGACACAATATACCACAAAGAAATTGAACATGAAATCAAAGAACTTTTGACCAAAAATGACTTCCCCCCAAATATAATCAAAACATTATTAAAAAGACGACAAATCGAAAGAAAAAAGCCAACAGAACCTGCTAAAATATACAAATCACTAATATATGTACCACGACTATCAGAACGCCTCACAAACTCAGACTGTTATAACAAACAAGATATAAAAGTAGCACACAAACCGACGAATACATTACAAAAATTCTTCAACAAGATAAAGTCGAAAATCCCGATGATCGAAAAAAGCAACGTCGTTTACCAAATACCATGTGGCGGGGATAACAACAACAAGTGCAATAGTGTCTACATAGGTACAACAAAATCGAAGCTAAAAACAAGGATTAGTCAACATAAATCGGACTTCAAACTAAGACATCAAAATAATATACAGAAAACAGCACTTATGACCCATTGTATAAGAAGCAACCACACACCAAATTTTGATGAAACAACAATCTTACAACAAGAACAACACTATAACAAGCGACACACATTGGAAATGCTACACATAATTAACACACCAACCTACAAACGACTAAACTACAAGACAGACACAGAAAATTGCGCTCACTTGTACAGACACCTCTTAAACAGTCAAACAACCTCAGTAACAATCTCCACGTCAAAAAGCGCAGACGTGTAAAATAATGTATGTAAAATGTTCGAAATAATGTTTAATTTATTGTATTATAATTGTTAATTGTTTTTTGTATCTTGGTGTTAGTGCCCTGAAGACGGTTTGCCGATGTGCAACCGAAATATATCGGAAGAGAATTGAATAAAATTGTTTTTCATTGTTTGTTTTAACAAACACGGACCTCGAGCCAGCCAACAAATAAATATTGAAATATGGAAAGGTCGCCAGAGCCATCAATAAAAATAAATATTAATAAAAAACTGAGAAACGGTTCGATGAAATGTCAAACAAGCGAAAACTTTCCAAGCACAAGGAAAGTTGGAAAAAATCGCTTAATAAAAGACTATACTTTTAGTATATTCCTACTGGAATGTTTAAAAAAGATTTTTCTACAATATTAAAAATTCAAGAACAAAGTCACGAAGCATCCATATGCCATGACCATTCCTACATAATCGTAGAAAACAAATGTGATTTTAAAATGGAAGGAAAATATAAAAGAGATTTGTCCATTTTAAAACAGCATAGTGAGTTAAACATTGATTCAGAATTGTAAATTTTAAGTTGTGAATCATTGTTTAAATGTGTGCACGGCGATTCAAATTCCGTTTCATTTCATTTCCGCCGTTTCATGCACTACCTTACTATTAAGGATTTATTTTCATTAAATGGCCGAAATTGGTTAACAAACTTAATTGTGGATGCTGCTTAACAACTATTTTATACGAAAATGGAGAGGAGTCTTTCATAAATTTGCCTTGTCAACTTAATGATTATTGCTTTAACAATGAAAGGATATGGAAGATGGTTTAGTAAAAAATTCAACTTTAATAGTACCTCATTGTTACAGAAATCATTTATATATATTAATTATTAATCAAAAATGACACGAGATACTATTTTTAGACCCCGTTGGCAATTCTTAAAGCTCAGGTGTATTTAAAAATTTTGAAAGCCAAATGTAAATTATTCAGATGTGTCAAACTTTTCACTTACAAATTTAGAGTCTAATGACCTATTTAGACATGAAATGTTTGATAAAAATCTCAAATTTGGAGATTCATTAAATGATTTATGTTTGCACTGCTCGTCTAAAAGTAAAGGCCCTTTAAATTCTCGCTGCCGTAAATGTGATTGTTTTATATGTGGTCAATGTGTAAGAAAAGAACATAAAAATGATCAAAAAAATATTATAGATAAGATATGTGAGCTTAGATACGACCAGCTTAGATCCATACTTGCAAAGTGTTTTTGACAATGAGTGAGACACACTCAAGAGTTGAGTAGAACTTCACGTCATTGTTCGCTAGTTTCTATTTTGGCTAGTAATGAATATTATCAAATATTTATATCGTTAAATATCAGCATGCAAATTTTACGTGGAGCTGTGGGCTGTGGAGCAGAAATAAAATATTTAAGCATGCCATATTATATATTAACACAAATACTCTTATTCAGATGTAACTTTCTTTGTTTATTAAATTGAAAATACACGTAGTTGTAGTAGATAGTCGATGTATTTACTATTTATTTATAATTTTAAATTTTTTATTTATAAATTTTAAAAATTAGTAAGTACTAATGCAGTGTGGATTAGGCCTACTGGGGATACCACATTAAAAAATAGTGGTGTGGAAAGAATTAAATAACATATTTTTGGTTAATTTAACAAACCGTACGTTTAAAAAATGCATATTCGCAAACAAGTCAATAAATATTGAGGTTTTAAAATTTAACCATTTGCGACCAGTATGCAATTTTATTTATAAATAAAACAAACATATATATATATATATATATATGTACAGACGAGGCCTATGTAAATGTAATCCTTGGTCATGCCCAGCGAATCGATGCACTCGTAGCCTTGTAGGGCATTAAATCTGAGTCGGTTTGCTACGTCGTGCGCTCAATAAATGATTGCTGCTGGGCTGTGAAATAAAATACTAATTAGTTAGGGTGCAATTATGGTTTGGTAACGCCCTGTACAAACTTTTGCGTCGCCGCAATCGATGCTCTCTAGGCCTATTCGGTTTCTCGCCAAAAGCGCACATGGAAATGAGACGCAATTTGTTCTTGTTGCTGTCGCTCGGCGACGTATTTGTTGCAACAATCTGCGAGTGTATTAAGCTAATCAATAAACTAAGCGCACAGGCTATTAGCAGCGCACTAAGCGGATCGGCACTCTTCTACGAGTGCTGTTTATCATCGGCGGCAGCCGTGGTCACATCATCGACAACCGTTGTATTCGTTTCCCGATCGTAGACCAGTGGCGACAGGCGGTTGCTGTGCATGATGTACATATATGGCCCAATTGAGCAGTTGTGTGATGTACAGAACTACAAATAAAAAAACTTATTTGATATAAGCATGGAATGCAAAAGTGCCGCTATGTTAGGGGATGCCAACTTATGAAGAAAGCTAACCTATGGGAACATAAAGATGCCACCTTGTGAAAATAAGTAAAAGTACACATGACGATGAATATTATCTTAACATGTTATTTATATAAAATAAATAGTATAGTCGTTAAAACATTCTTCAATTTGTATTATTATCTGTGTATATATAAATATAGATACAATATTTACATTTTTATTGTGAGCACAATTACAAACTATTCATCTCCATGTATAGAAAGAGTGACCGATATTTTAATTATTCACTTATTTTCAGAGATTGACACTTTTATATGCTAGGCTTATAATGGGTTGGCAGGGTCTATTATAACGGTACTTTTATGTATTCAAGAAAACAGCGCAATATATACATATGTATTTTTGCATTAACATAGGATGTTATGAGAGAAATAGAAATATGAGAATTTCTCAAAATCTGTACCGATGGTTTTAATGAAATAAATAGCAAAATGATTGATAAATCGTGCTCAATATGCACAACCTCGTACATTTGGGACCGTTTTCGGAGAAATTAAATAACAAAGTTTAAAATATGGCTGCCATTTAACAGTATGATATCTAATATTGCCTGTATGTTTTTTTGCATTAACATGGGATGTTATGAGAGAAATAGAAAATTGAGAATTTCTCAATATCTGTACCGATGATTTTAATGAAATAAATAGCAAAATAATTGATAAATCGTGCTCTATATATGCACAACTACCGTGCATTTGGGGCCGTTTTCGGAGAAATGAAACAATAAAGTTTAAAATATGGCTGCCATTTAACAGTATGATATCTAATATTGCCAGCATGTTTTTTTGCAATAACATAGGATGTAATGAAAAAAATGGAAAAATGCAATTTTTCCATAAACTGCGCTATTAAGTATGACTTAATGTTTCTCATTTTTTGCTTTGACTTATTAATTTAATTAACTATGAGTCCTTTCCGTTGTTCATGATTATATATAATTCAAATTGAATTGGTTCCCGCCCAATTCTGTAAAAAATTGTTCAGCACTAATTCCAGGCAGTGATTCAGTTCTCGTACGAACTAGCAGTTCGATAGATTTTATGAATGAACTATATGAGGTTGGTTTACAATTAGTTAATTTTCTCAAAATCTGTACCGTCCATTTAGTTAAAATTAGTGCCTAAAGCCTAAAGTCACCACCGCTAATTTAACGCACATTTTAAAGTTTGATATATCAGCTGTTTATGTTAACGATACTTTACCATTTTTCACAGCATCGATAGAAATCTCGATTAGTCATCGCTAAATTCACGAAATGTTCGGGGTGAATTTACACATTATTTGCCTTTTTTGAAAGATGAGTGAAATGTGTTATCTTATGGGGAAACACACAGGGCGCGTTTCACACATTTTGCTAAAGTTGGACAGTGGACAAAGGCTTTTAGACAGTGTTACTAAATTTAGCTAAAAAAAACGTGCCTTTGAAGCTGTTTTATTTAGGGTTTACAAACTATGCAATAAACTTATCAATGAAAAATGTATCCTACTCATAGACAGTTACATATAACAGCGACTTTTACTTGACCTTTGGGCGCGCAGCAATTTTTTAATATATATAAGGAAACCAATTAAAATTTAATATTGTTAGGCTGTATAACAATTTTTTTTTTTTTTATTTTATTAAATTTGTAGGAAACTATAGGATTACTTTTCTTTGAAAATAATGCATTTTGCAAATTTGTCGTCGTCAGCCCTAAATAAGGACCAAATTTCATTCGTTTTTTTATCCATTTTAAGATAAGGTAAAAACATTCGCACAAATTTAAACGATTTTTGTAAGTGAGGCTGTGCAGTTGCAAGTTCAAAATAACAGCCAGGTACACATCATTTTCATAGTTCTTAGCTTTGTAGCCAGTACGAAAGGAACAGCCTGAGTACAGGCCTGTGACAAAGTAAAAATAAAAATAAACATTAAAAAGTATATCTTCGTGTAAAGTGAATACAAATTAAGCCATTAGCATTGATCCAGTCATTTGTTATATCGTCGTAGTAATCTCTTTTTCGGTGTCAATCTTTTAAGTAAATAACGACCAAAATGTAGACCCTTGCTTTACTATCTGTGCATGTCATTGGATGATTTTTGTCGCTGTTACTTTTGAAAAGTGTAACAGCAGTAACTAGTTACTTTTAAATACTAAACAGGTTGAGTAAATAGCGCTCGTCCCTAATTCAAGCCATAACAAATTGACAATGACAAAACATGTAACAAATTCTTCTAAATCGCAATCCGACATAAGTAGATGGCTTTTTTGATGTTTCCAAAGCTAACCCACCCTGTGTTTGTTTTATATTCTCATCCTCTTCTTAACTTAGACTCCCTATGGCATCATCTGAACGGCATAGATTTTCCTCCCCTGCATCAGTAAGCTAAAGGTTATAACGTGAGTATAAGTTATAGCATTCACATAAATATGACAATATATAATAGTGCATTCATTATTTTGACAGGTATACAAATATCCAATCACGCGAAATAAGATAACAGAAAGTCAATATGTACACTGACACAACTTCAAATTGAAGCATATATTTTGAAAACAAATGTGGATCAAACGATCCACAAAATATATATTTATCTTACCCGTTGCACACAATATCACATAAGTTTATGGTCTCATCAACTGAGAAATACATAAGTATTCTAATATCGTTTAAAAAATTGTAAACAAACACAGCCTGGAGACAACATCGACATAAGCCGTAATTAAACGATCTTCTTATGACATAAAAATTGAGTCCCAAACATCATTCCACAGTATGACACAGTTAAAACTTCGGCTGATTAAATGCAAAGATATATGTCCTGTGCGACCAATCCATTCAATAATAGTTTAAATTCGTTTTGACCGACGACTTTTAAGCATAGGCAACAGCGAGGTCTGAGAACTTAAGTGATACTCGGTTGCGCAAGAGACAGGATACTTATTTGCGCAAGAGACAGGGCGTGGAAGCGATTGATTATTGGGTTGTGATATGCAAATACATGCAGATTCATACATACATATACATATGTATATGGTACATATGTAGGTACATATGTGGCTGACAGGGGAAAGGACGCATATGCGAACGAAAAAAAGTTAAATATGAATATACATATGAATGTATGTATGTATATATATATAACCGAATCTTCATAATTTTCATTAATGTAAATCCCTTATTTTTCAGTTGTCATCTGTCAGACACGCGAAAAAAGCCACCATACAGTCATCGTAACACTGTATCTATGAAAATTATGCTGATCTACCAGACAGGCTGCTCCAGTGTGGCCAAATTAAAAATATTTTAACGCCGCTTTTATGTTTTTAAGCACAGAACCTAATAAAATTAAATGCAGAATTGCAAAAATTAAATTATTTACTGCCTACATACATTTGTTTTTGAATTTTAATTTATAATATTGGTAAACCAAGGGGTTAAAATATTAGTTTTTCACCATTCCATAAATATCTAAATTTAGCGATGATGGCCCCGAAAACCGCATATACATTATTAAGACCTATAGTTTCACCTAGCCAACTGTGAACATTTGAATCAAATCGTCGGTACCATTTTTAAGATATTTGGAAAAGAATCCAACAATCCCATGTCAGCCCCACATAAAATGACCGCAAAAAAACAACCTTCTTATTTCTTAACTCAGAGGCAATGGCCCTCAATGCACGCTATACCCTCTTGTAGATACATATTTTAAGAAACTTTAGGCACTACATTTAAGTAAATGGACGGTACAGATTTTCAGAAAATTAATTAATTGTAAACCAACCTCATATAGTTCATTCATAAAGTCTATCGAACTGCTATTTCCTACGTGAACTGAATCACTGCCTGGCATCAGTGTTGAACAATTTTGTACAGAATTGGGCGGGATCCAATCCAATTTGAATAATATGTTACCATGAAAAAACGAAAAGGACTCGCAGTTAATTAAATTAATAAGTCAAAGCAAATTATATGAGTAATATTAAGTCATACTTAACAGCGCAGTTTATGGAAAAATTGCATTACATTGCAATTGAAAAATTGCTGGCAAAATTAGATATCTTACTGTTAAATGGCAGCCATCTTTTAATCTTTATTATTTTATTTCTCCGAAAACGGCCCCAAATGCACGGAAGTTGTGCATATTGAGCACGATTTATTAATCATTTTGCTAGTTATTTTATTAAAATCATCGGTACAGATTTTGAGAAATTCTCATTTTTCTATTTCTCTCATACAATCCCATGTTAATGCAAAAAAACATGCCGGCAATATTAGATATCATACTGTTAAATGCCAGCCATATTTTAATCTTTATTATTTTCTTTCTCCGAAAACGGCCCCAAATGCACGGAAGTTGTGCATATTGAGCACGATTTATCAATCATTTTGGTAGTTATTTCATTAAAATCATCGGTACAGATTTTGAGAAATTCTCAGTTTTCTATTTCTCTCATAACATCCTATGTTAATGCAAAAAAACATATGTATATATTGCGCTGTTTTCTTGAATACATAAAAGTACCGTTATAATAGACCCTGCCAACCCATTATAAGCCTAGCATATAAAAGTGTCAATCTCTGAAAATAAGTGAATAATTAAAATATCGGTCACTCTTTCTATACATGGAGATGAATAGTTTGTAATTGGGCTCACAATAAAAATGTATTTTATCGTCTCTATTTGTCTCTATATTTATATATACACAGATAATAATACAAATTGTAGAATGTTTTAACAACTATATAAAGTATTTATATTATATAAATAACACGTTTGTTAATATTCATCGTCTTGTGTACTTTTACTTATTTTCACAAGGTGGCATCTTTATGTTCCCATAGGTTAGCTTTCTTCATAAGTTGGCAGCCTCTAACATAGCGGCACTTTTGCATTCCATGCTATTTAATTTAAACGAAATTTGTATACATATTTAAACATATGTATATATTTACAACATTTGTTATTTATTTGCTTATATTTTAATCTAACAAGTTTGAAATGGTTCCAGGAAACGCAAAACGGTAAGATTTTATTTAGTGACTGATTGTGTTCTCCTTTTTATAGCCTGAACCCATTAAAAATGGGTAAAAGAGGTATAATGTATTTGTGTATGTAACAGGCAGAAGAAAGGATCTTCAACCACTTAAAGTATGTATTCTTGATCAGCATCAATAGCCTAGTCGATCCAGCCATGTGCGTCTGTCTGTCCGTCTGTGCTTCTGTCTGTCCGTCCGTATGTATGCACGCGTCGAATTAAAAACCTATGAGCTCCTTTTGTCCGCAAGTAGCTTCCTTTATATCAGGTAACTTTCATTCTATAGCTATAGCTTTGTTTGTTGTTGGTAGGAACGGTATCCCCTAGCTGTGCACTCCCACTCCACTAAAGCATTCTTAATTGTTTGTTACCTAAAAGCTATTGAAAATAAATGACCATTTTTGGCAAACGAACTGGTAAATAAAGGAATTTTTAATTTTGACATAACTTAGTCGTTAGTACATTTTTAAAATTTTTGGAATTGTACTAAAAATAGATAACAAAATTGTTGTTTAACTTATTCGATTTAATTTTACCATTAATATATTAAAAATTTTTTAAGGACAATCTTTCTTGGACTTCGTGATGCCATAAGAGGAGCCATTGCCAGAAACATAATACCTCGAGTTGGAAATTTTAGTCCAACTGATTTTCAATCTATATTACTTATTGTTAACAATAAGTTTATAGAGCGAAATTGGACACATTTTCAACTGGCAGATAATGTTAAGAATCGAAAAATTATTACGAAAAGTTTTAAACGCATAAGTAATCATAAAGCTTTAATATTTTTTATAACCCTAATTGGTGAGTTGTTTTACCAGTTTCAGGCTGCTTACTCAAAAGAACGCCAGGACGTATCTAACGGTAGTAATCATGTAAGCAGTAAACTAGAAATTAGCAATTATATTAGTGATATGTCTAGCATACAAAATGATAGTTCTAATTATAGTCTTAATGAGCCTACAAATTGTCCGTCTGAGTTTAATAATGACGCATGCTTTGTCGAAGCGACATTAAAATGCTTTCGGAAAAAATACTACAATGTTCATGATAGCTTAAACAGAGAAGTTCAGTTAGTTAGTAATTTGAAAGGATGCCACGGAGCACTTTCAGGTTCCAGCAATTTGCATACTGAAATCAGTATCCAAGAATTTATGACCACGTTAAATCAATTGTGTGCGATATTTAAAAAAACAAAGCATTGAACACATTATTCGAGAAGCATACACTTCTCATTACAACGCATGTGTTTTGTTTTTCAAGTCAATTAGACTTAAATAATATTGGAGAATTACAAAAATTGTTACGAAATATTGCAATCATTCTTCTTTTTCCATATGTTAATAATATTGTGGATGATGCCATTTATTATTTTACTAAATATTGTAAAGAGCCATCCACATTTTATTTGATAGACAGTATAAAATTGGGAGAAAGTAAGGAAGTTGTCGATGATCCAACTTTTCTGCCCATTGCCGAAAAAGGTCCATTTATATTTATTTAAGTCCAGAAATGCTGGATCTAATTTTAAATAAATACCTTGTTCACGCAACTTTTTGGACCAATATTATACGTAATTTTATTGAGAAATCCAATAAAAGACCCAGTAATGGGCCTATAGAATCATTCTTTAAAACACTTATATATAGTGCTATAAAGACAAATAATAAAAACGGCTAAAAGCCAGGACGATTTATCCGTAAGCTGGATGAGTTGTCAAAGTCCATTGCTAGACTAGTTGAACTTGCAAAACCGGGTATTGTGGAACCGTTTAGTGAACTAGTTGTAAGGCCTACAAAAAATAAATATTAATAAAAAACTGAGAAACGGTTCGATGAAATGTCAAACAAGCGAAAACTTCCCAAGCACAAGGAAAGTTGGAAAAAATCGCTTAATAAAAGACTATACTTTTAGTATATTCCTACTGGAATGTTTAAAAAAGATTTTTCTACAATATTAAAAATTCAAGAACAAAGTCACGAAGCATCCATATGCCATGACCATTCCTACATAATCGTAGAAAACAAATGTGCTTTTAAAATGGAAGGAAAATATAAAAGAGATTTGTCCATTTTAAAACAGCATAGTGAGTTAAACATTGATTCAGAATTGTAAATTTTAAGTTGTGAATCATTGTTTAAATGTGTGCACGGCGATTCAAATTCCGTTTCATTTCATTTCCGCCGTTTCATGCACTACCTTACTATTAAGGATTTATTTTCATTAAATGGCCGAAATTGGTTAACAAACTTAATTGTGGATGCTGCTTAACAACTATTTTATACGAAAATGGAGAGGAGTCTTTCATAAATTTGCCTTGTCAACTTAATGATTATTGCTTTAACAATGAAAGGATATGGAAGATGGTTTAGTAAAAAATTCAACTTTAATAGTACCTCATTGTTACAGAAATCATTTATATATATTAATTATTAATCAAAAATGACACGAGATACTATTTTTAGACCCCGTTGGCAATTCTTAAAGCTCAGGTGTATTTAAAAATTTTGAAACGCTTAAAGCCAAATGTAAATTATTCAGATGTGTCAAACTTTTCACTTACAAATTTAGAGTCTAATGACCTATTTAGACATGAAATGTTTGATAAAATTCTCAAATTTGGAGATTCATTAAATGATTTATGTTTGCACTGCTCGTCTAAAAGTAAAGGCCCTTTAAATTCTCGCTGCCGTAAATGTGATTGTTTTATATGTGGTCAATGTGTAAGAAAAGAACATAAAAATGATCAAAAAAATATTATAGATAAGATATGTGAGCTTAGATACGACCAGCTTAGATCCATACTTGCAAAGTGTTTTTGACAATGAGTGAGACACACTCAAGAGTTGAGTAGAACTTCACGTCATTGTTCGCTAGTTTCTATTTTGGCTAGTAATGAATATTATCAAATATTTATATCGTTAAATATCAGCATGCAAATTTTACGTGGAGCTGTGGGCTGTGGAGCAGAAATAAAATATTTAAGCATGCCATATTATATATTAACACAAATACTCTTATTCAGATGTAACTTTCTTTGTTTATTAAATTGAAAATACACGTAGTTGTAGTAGATAGTAGATGTATTTATAAATTTTAAAAATTAGTAAGTACTAATGCAGTGTGGATTAGGCCTACTGGGGATACCACATTAAAAAATAGTGGTGTGGAAAGAATTAAATAACATATTTTTGGTTAATTTAACAAACCGTACGTTTAAAAAATGCATATTCGCAAACAAGTCAATAAATATTGAGGTTTTAAAATTTAACCATTTGCGACCAGTATGCAATTTTATTTATAAATAAAGCAAACACGTTTTTAAATAAATATGTATGTGGTTTAGTCTATGGAAAAATGTATACATGATATACTTGTACAAGCTTAAAATTACTATTACTAATTTCAGCTATTAACATTTTGTAAGTGGAATATAGAAAGTGACGGGAAAGTAATATTCTTAATACTTATACAAAATACAATATGTGTTGCGTTAGCTTTATGCTCATTTTCTCCGCATTCCATTACAAACTCAAATATAAGACAATTACAATTATAGTTTGAAGGATTACATTTACATAGGCCTCGTCTGTACATATATATATAAATATATACATATATATATTTATGTATGTATACATGTGTTTGTATTTTGCAATACAATACAGTACAACATACAGTATATATATATATATATATATATATATATATATATATATGTACAGACGAGGCCTATGTAAATGTAATCCTTGGTCATGCCCAGCGAATCGATGCACTCGTAGCCTTGTAGGGCATTAAATCTGAGTCGGTTTGCTACGTCGTGCGCTCAATAAATGATTGCTGCTGGGCTGTGAAATAAAATACTAATTAGTTAGGGTGCAATTATGGTTTGGTAACGCCCTGTACAAACTTTTGCGTCGCCGCAATCGATGCTCTCTAGGCCTATTCGGTTTCTCGCCAAAAGCGCACATGGAAATGAGACGCAATTTGTTCTTGTTGCTGTCGCTCGGCGACGTATTTGTTGCAACAATCTGCGAGTGTATTAAGCTAATCAATAAACTAAGCCCACAGGCTATTAGCAGCGCACTAAGCGGATCGGCACTCTTCTACGAGTGCTGTTTATCATCGGCGGCAGCCGTGGTCACATCATCGACAACCGTTGTATTCGTTTCCCGATCGTAGACCAGTGGCGACAGGCGGTTGCTGTGCATGATGTACATATATGGCCCAATTGAGCAGTTGTGTGATGTACAGAACTACAAATAAAAAAACTTATTTGATATAAGCATGGAATGCAAAAGTGCCGCTATGTTAGGGGATGCCAACTTATGAAGAAAGCTAACCTATGGGAACATAAAGATGCCACCTTGTGAAAATAAGTAAAAGTACACATGACGATGAATATTATCTAAAAATGTTATTTATATAAAATAAATAGTTAGTATAGTCGTTAAAACATTCTTCAATTTGTATTATTATCTGTGTATATATAAATATAGATACAATATTTACATTTTTATTGTGAGCACAATTACAAACTATTCATCTCCATGTATAGAAAGAGTGACCGATATTTTAATTATTCACTTATTTTCAGAGATTGACACTTTTATATGCTAGGCTTATAATGGGTTGGCAGGGTCTATTATAACGGTACTTTTATGTATTCAAGAAAACAGCGCAATATATACATATGTATTTTTGCATTAACATAGGATGTTATGAGAGAAATAGAAAATTGAGAATTTCTCAATATCTGTACCGATGATTTTAATGAAATAAATAGCAAAATAATTGATAAATCGTGCTCTATATATGCACAACTACCGTGCATTTGGGGCCGTTTTCGGAGAAATGAAACAATAAAGTTTAAAATATGGCTGCCATTTAACAGTATGATATCTAATATTGCCAGCATGTTTTTTTGCAATAACATAGGATGTAATGAAAAAAATGGAAAAATGCAATTTTTCCATAAACTGCGCTATTAAGTATGACTTAATGTTTCTCATTTTTTGCTTTGACTTATTAATTTAATTAACTATGAGTCCTTTTGCGTTGTTCATGATTATATATAATTCAAATTGAATTGGTTCCCGCCCAATTCTGTACAAAATTGTTCAGCACTAATTCCAGGCAGTGATTCAGTTCTCGTACGAACTAGCAGTTCGATAGATTTTATGAATGAACTATATGAGGTTGGTTTACAATTAGTTAATTTTCTCAAAATCTGTACCGTCCATTTAGTTAAAATTAGTGCCTAAAGCCTAAAGTCACCACCGCTAATTTAACGCACATTTTAAAGTTTGATATATCAGCTGTTTATGTTAACGATACTTTACCATTTTTCACAGCATCGATAGAAATCTCGATTAGTCATCGCTAAATTCACGAAATGTTCGGGGTGAATTTACACATTATTTGCCTGTTTTGAAAGATGAGTGAAATGTGTTATCTTATGGGGAAACACACAGGGCGCGTTTCACACATTTTGCTAAAGTTGGACAGTGGACAAAGGCTTTTAGACAGTGTTACTAAATTTAGCTAAAAAAAACGTGCCTTTGAAGCTGTTTTATTTAGGGTTTACAAACTATGCAATAAACTTATCAATGAAAAATGTATCCTACTCATAGATTTTCTTACCTGTCGGCTTCGCGTGTACACCTTGCGGACAATTACAAAACACTACATCAAATAAGCTCATCACTAATCAGCTGTGTCAATCTAGAGATGATCGATAATGTTATATTTGTGTCACAGTGACAACTGTGACAGTTACATATAACAGCGACTTTTACTTGACCTTTGGGCGCGCAGCAATTTTTTAATATATATAAGGAAACCAATTAAAATTTAATATTGTTAGGCTGTATAACAATTTTTTTTTTTTTATTTTATTAAATTTGTAGGAAACTATAGGATTACTTTTCTTTGAAAATAATGCATTTTGCAAATTTGTCGTCGTCAGCCCTAAATAAGGACCAAATTTCATTCGTTTTTTATCCATTTTAAGATAAGGTAAAAACGTTCGCACAAATTTAAACGATTTTTGTAAGTGAGGCTGTGCAGTTGCAAGTTCAAAATAACAGCCAGGTACACATCATTTTCATAGTTCTTAGCTTTGTAGCCAGTACGAAAGGAACAGCCTGAGTACAGGCCTGTGACAAAGTAAAAATAAAAATAAACATTAAAAAGTATATCTTCGTGTAAAGTGAATACAAATTAAGCCATTAGCATTGATCCAGTCATTTGTTATATCGTCGTAGTAATCTCTTTTTCGGTGTCAATCTTTTAAGTAAATAACGACCAAAATGTAGACCCTTGCTTTACTATCTGTGCATGTCATTGGATGATTTTTGTCGCTGTTACTTTTGAAAAGTGTAACAGCAGTAACTAGTTACTTTTAAATACTAAACAGGTTGAGTAAATAGCGCTCGTCCCTAATTCAAGCCATAACAAATTGACAATGACAAACATTTGTAAAGTGTAATACCGGAAACTAAATTAAATAAATGCTATTCCATTGGTTAATTGGCATGGTATAAAATAAAACATATGAACAGTTAAGTTTATATTTCAAATAGAAAAGCGTTTAGTGAAATACATATGTAAAAACACAAATTTGAACAATTAATATCTAAGAAGTGATCTACATCCAAAATGATTCTTACAAATTTAATGAAAAGGGCTTTTACCTTCAATTTTTAATTTGCGGTTGACATATTGCTGTATAACTGTATACATTTTTGTATACATATTTATGCAACCTGATTTTAATAAATGAGTTATTAATTGTTCAATTTAATAATTTTATTTTAATTTTAATATTCTGTAACATATTTTTCAGTACAGTAGCCTGCTAACACAACACAGGGGATTCCTGCAAGTCGAGGTAGTAGATTGGTGCTAGAGCTTATTGGCTCTCAGGCATGGAGACCCCTACCAATGTGTTTTATAGGGACATTTTACATGGGCCTGTCATAGGAAGGCGGTAATTGACATGTCTAGCTTTAGAGATGTTGATGCTGATTTCAATGGCCATCATAATAACCCTTCACAAGGTTAACGTTTAATTAATTTACTAGGACAAGGTCGCCTTGGTGCATCTGTAATTTTTTAATGAATTCTATTATAACTTATGCAGGCATACATATGTGTCATCTGCAGCTACGCATGCACCTTACATTATGTGTACATAGTTATTTACTACATATGTAAAGCATTTTTTTTCTCAGTCTGGGTGAGCTTTAATCCTTAAGGAGCTTCCTTTTTTGTTTAAAGTGATAATTAAGACGATGTCTATTCTATATTCAACCCGCAAGTGTCGGAAGACAGAGGTCAAAGTTTTTAGGAAAATCATTAAAAAGGCATTGTTATTTTTCACAAATAAAAAGAACATTCATAATAAACAAAATTAAAAAAAAAAAACACAACAATTAAAATTAATGAAAATTAATGAGGTTACAATAAATCAAATATTCTCTTGCATTAGTTCTTATATTAGCTACAAGGCTGTCATTACTATATTTTGACAGGCGTAAAGCAGCATTAAACTAGTTATATACATATATATGTAGGTATGTACATGTTTTTTTTTTAAATAATTAAAGCAAAAGGGTTTCTTTCAAATGAGGCTAGATTACTGAGTTTTATTACTTTGTTCAATAAAGTATTATTTGCGCAAGAGACAGGGCGTGGAAGCGATTGATTATTGGGTTGTGATATGCAAATACATGCAGATTCATACATACATATACATATGTATATGGTACATATATAGGTACATATGTGGCTGACAGGGGAAAGGACGCATATGCGAACGAAAAAAAGTTAAATATGAATATACATATGAATGTATGTATGTATATATATAACCGAATCTTCATAATTTTCATTAATGTAAATCCCTTATTTTTCAGTTGTCATCTGTCAGACACGCGAAAAAAGCCACCATACAGTCATCGTAACACTGTATCTATGAAAATTATGCTGATCTACCAGACAGGCTGCTCCAGTGTGGCCAAATTAAAAATATTTTAACGCCGCTTTTATGTTTTTAAGCACAGAACCTAATAAAATTAAATGCAGAATTGCAAAAATTAAATTATTTACTGCCTACATACATTTGTTTTTGAATTTTAATTTATAATATTGGTAAACCAAGGGGTTAAAATATTAGTTTTTCACCATTCCATAAATATCTAAATTTAGCGATGATGGCCCCGAAAACCGCATATACATTATTAAGACCTATAGTTTCACCTAGCCAACTGTGAACATTTGAATCAAATCGTCGGTACCATTTTTAAGATATTTGGAAAAGAGTCCAACAATCCCATGTCAGCCCCACATAAAATGACCGCAAAAAAACAACCTTCTTATTTCTTAACTCAGAGGCAATGGCCCTCAATGCACGCTATACCCTCTTGTAGATACATATTTTAAGAAACTTTAGGCACTAAATTTAAGTAAATGGACGGTACAGATTTTCAGAAAATTAATTAATTGTAAACCAACCTCATATAGTTCATTCATAGAGTCTATCGAACTGCTATTTCCTACGTGAACTGAATCACTGCCTGGCATCAGTGTTGAACAATTTTGTACAGAATTGGGCGGGATCCAATCCAATTTGAATAATATGTTACCATGAAAAAACGAAAAGGACTCACAGTTAATTAAATTAATAAGTCAAAGCAAATTATATGAGTAATATTAAGTCATACTTAACAGCGCAGTTTATGGAAAAATTGCATTGCATTGCAATTAAAAAATTGCTGGCAAAATTAGATATCTTACTGTTAAATGGCAGCCATCTTTTAATCTTTATTATTTTATTTCTCCGAAAACGGCCCCAAATGCACGGAAGTTGTGCATATTGAGCACGAGTTATCAATCATTTTGGTAGTTATTTCATTAAAATCATCGGTACAGATTTTGAGAAATTCTCAGTTTTCTATTTCTCTCATAACATCCTATGTTAATGCAAAAAAACATATGTATATATTGCGCTGTTTTCTTGAATACATAAAAGTACCGTTATAATAGACCCTGCCAACCCATTATAAGCCTAGCATATAAAAGTGTCAATCTCTGAAAATAAGTGAATAATTAAAATATCGGTCACTCTTTCTATACATGGAGATGAATAGTTTGTAATTGGGCTCACAATAAAAATGTATTTTATCGTCTCTATTTGTCTCTATATTTATATATACACAGATAATAATACAAATTGTAGAATGTTTAAACAATTATATAAAGTATTTATATTATATAAATAACACGTTTGTTAATATTCATCGTCTTGTGTACTTTTACTTATTTTCACAAGGTGGCATCTTTATGTTCCCATAGGTTAGCTTTCTTCATAAGTTGGCAGCCTCTAACATAGCGGCACTTTTGCATTCCATGCTATTTAATTTAAACGAGATTTGTATACATATTTAAACATATGTATATATCTACAACATTTGTTATTTATTTGTTTATATTTTAATCTAACAAGTTTGAAATGGTTCCAGGAAACGCAAAACGGTAAGATTTTATTTAGTGACTGATTGTGTTCTCCTTTTTATAGCCTGAACCCATTAAAAATGGGTAAAAGAGGTATAATGTATTTGTGTATGTAACAGGCAGAAGAAAGGATCTTCAACCACTTAAAGTATGTATTCTTGATCAGCATCAATAGCCTAGTCGATCCAGCCATGTGCGTCTGTCTGTCCGTCTGTGCTTCTGTCTGTCCGTCCGTATGTATGCACGCGTCGAATTAAAAACCTATGAGCTCCTTTTGTCCGCAAGTAGCTTCCTTTATATCAGGTAACTTTCATTCTATAGCTATAGCTTTGTTTGTTGTTGGTAGGAACGGTATCCCCTAGCTGTGCACTCCCACTCCACTAGAGCATTCTTAATTGTTTGTTACCTAAAAGCTATTGAAAATAAATGACCATTTTTGGCAAACGAACTGGTAAATAAAGGAATTTTTAATTTTGACATAACTTAGTCGTTAGTACATTTTTAAAATTTTTGGAATTGTACTAAAAGTAGATAACAAAATTGTTTAACTTATTCGATTTAATTTTACCATTAATATATTAAAAATTTTTTAAGGACAATCTTTCTTGGACTTCGTGATGCCATAACAGAAGCCATTGCCAGAAACATAATACCTCGAGTTGGAAATTTTAGTCCAACTGATTTTCAATCTATATTACTTATTGTTAACAATAAGTTTATAGAGCGAAATTGGACACATTTTCAACTGGCAGATAATGTTAAGAATCGAAAAATTATTACGAAAAGTTTTAAACGCATAAGTAATCATAAAGCTTTAATATTTTTTATAACCCTAATTGGTGAGTTGTTTTACCAGTTTCAGGCTGCTTACTCAAAAGAACGCCAGGACGTATCTAACGGTAGTAATCATGTAAGCAGTAAACTAGAAATTAGCAATTATATTAGTGATATGTCTAGCATAGAAAATGATAGTTCTAATTATAGTCTTAATGAGCCTACAAATTGTCCGTCTGAGTTTAATAATGACGCATGCTTTGTCGAAGCGACATTAAAATGCTACAATAATACTACAATGTTCATGATAGCTTAAACAGAGAAGTTCAGTTAGTTAGTAATTTGAAAGGATGCCACGGAGCACTTTCAGGTTCCAGCAATTTGCATACTGAAATCAGTATCCAAGAATTTATGACCACGTTAAATCAATTGTGTGCGATATTTAAAAAAAAAAAGCATTGAACACATTATTCGAGAAGCATACACTTCTCATTACAACGCATGTGTTTTGTTTTTCAAGTCAATTAGACTTAACAAAAATTTTTTTGCTGCACATGGTTACTGCAAAGATCCGTCATGCAACTACTTTTTGTTCCATGGGACACTTGACGCTGTTGTAAGTGTATACACAAGCAGCCACATATCCCCCATACAATGGGCCTTACAAAGTCAACGCAGTGCAGAGCAATAAATAGATTTATAGAAAAGGCTTCCAATATAAACACTTCTCCGTTTGAATATAGATCAAAAAAATTGGTAATGATCAGATTACTAATGAGAAACTAACCTTTTATAGAATTTAATTTCGGAGGATAATGGAAAATATGATTTTGACAAAGATCCATTTAAAGATACTTTCGATATGTTTTCTAATGGGTATGCCAACTTTATTCAGTTACTTTCTAAGAAACTAGAAATATTTTTATGGGACAGACAACATATAAGTATGTTGTTGACCCATTTAAAACTACGGACACTGCATATTGACGCGACTGGGAATGTAGTACAGCCAATGAACTTTATCAAAAAACGTACATTTTTATATTGATTGGTTGCTCATATTCCAGAGCTTCGAATCGTTTTTCCTGTCACCTGCGATTCTCTCCAATCATAAATCGTCAGAAATAGGCAGATTTTTATGTGAGCTGCGGGAGTTCTGATAAAAAAATAAATTTAAAATGGCTTATTTGCCAAAGAATAATTACTGATGTTAGTTTTGCTTAAAAGAATATAACAGCATTGATCTTGCAACGTACAATGATATTTGTTTTAGTTTTTTGTATAATTTAAATCGCACATTTCCAAAAGTATGCGTTCAATTTTGTACGAGCCACTACAGCAAAATTATGTGTCTCAACATATATGAAGCAGTTGGTTTGGACAATATTGATCTCAATTCATTTTTAAGAAATTCCTTGGGTTGTGCAAATTCCATAAATAATATTGGAGAATTACAAAAATTGTTACGAAATATTGCAATCATTCTTCTTTTTCCATATGTTAATAATATTGTGGATGATGCCATTTATTATTTTACTAAATATTGTAAAGAGCCATCCACATTTTATTTGATAGACAGTATAAAATTGGGAGAAAGTAAGGAAGTTGTCGATGATCCAACTTTTCTGCCCATTGCCGAAAAAGGTCCATTTATATTTATTTAAGACCAGAAATGCTGGATCTAATTTTAAATAAATACCTTGTTCACGCAACTTTTTGGACCAATATTATACGTAATTTTATTGAGAAATCCAATAAAAGACCCAGTAATGGGCCTATAGAATCATTCTTTAAAAACGGCTAAAAGCCAGGACGATTTATCCGTAAGCTGAATGAGTTGTCAAAGTCCATTGCTAGACTAGTTGAACTTGCAAAACCGGGTATTGTGGAACCGTTTAGTGAACTAGTTGTAAGGCCTACAAAAAATAAATATTAATAAAAAACTGAGAAACGGTTCGATGAAATGTCAAACAAGCGAAAACTTTCCAAGCACAAGGAAAGTTGGAAAAAATCGCTTAATAAAAGACTATACTTTTAGTATATTCCTACTGGAATGTTTAAAAAAGATTTTTCTACAATATTAAAAATTCAAGAACAAAGTCACGAAGCATCCATATGCCATGACCATTCCTACATAATCGTAGAAAACAAATGTGCTTTTAAAATGGAAGGAAAATATAAAAAAGATTTGTCCATTTTAAAACAGCATAGTGAGTTAAACATTGATTCAGAATTGTAAATTTTAAGTTGTGAATCATTGTTTAAATGTGTGCACGGCGATTCAAATTCCGTTTCATTTCATTTCCGCCGTTTCATGCACTACCTTACTATTAAGGATTTATTTTCATTAAATGGCCGAAATTGGTTAACAAACTTAATTGTGGATGCTGCTTAACAACTATTTTATACGAAAATGGAGAGGAGTCTTTCATAAATTTGCCTTGTCAACTTAATGATTATTGCTTTAACAATGAAAGGATATGGAAGATGGTTTAGTAAAAAATTCAACTTTAATAGTACCTCATTGTTACAGAAATCATTTATATATATTAATTATTAATCAAAAATGACACGAGATACTATTTTTAGACCCCGTTGGCAATTCTTAAAGCTCAGGTGTATTTAAAAATTTTGAAACGCTTAAAGCCAAATGTAAATTATTCAGATGTGTCAAACTTTTCACTTACAAATTTAGAGTCTAATGACCTATTTAGACATGAAATGTTTGATAAAATTCTCAAATTTGGAGATTCATTAAATGATTTATGTTTGCACTGCTCGTAAAGGCCCTTTAAATTCTCGCTGCCGTAAATGTGATTGTTTTATATGTGGTCAATGTGTAAGAAAAGAACATAAAAATGATCAAAAAAATATTATAGATAAGATATGTGAGCTTAGATACGACCAGCTTAAATCCATACTTGCAAAGTGTTTTTGACAATGAGTGAGACACACTCAAGAGTTGAGTAGAACTTCACGTCATTGTTCGCTAGTTTCTATTTTGGCTAGTAATGAGTATTATCAAATATTTATATCGTTAAATATCAGCATGCAAATTTTACGTGGAGCTGTGGGCTGTGGAGCAGAAATAAAATATTTAAGCATGCCATATTATATATTAACACAAATACTCTTATTCTTTCTTTGTTTATTAAATTGAAAACACACGTAGTTGTAGTAGATAGTAGATGTATTTATAAATTTTAAAAATTAGTAAGTACTAATGCAGTGTGGATTAGGCCTACTGGGGATACCACATTAAAAAATAGTGGTGTGGAAAGAATTAAATAACATATTTTTGGTTAATTTAACAAACCGTACGTTTAAAAAATGCATATTCGCAAACAAGTCAATAAATATTGAGGTTTTAAAATTTAACCATTTGCGACCAGTATGCAATTTTATTTATAAATAAAACAAACACGTTTTTAAATAAATATGTATGTGGTTTAGTCTATGGAAAAATGTATACATGATATACTTGTACAAGCTTAAAATTACTATTACTAATTTCAGCTATTAACATTTTGTAAGTGGAATATAGAAAGTGACGGGAAAGTAATATTCTTAATACTTATACAAAATACAATATGTGTTGCGTTAGCTTTATGCTCATTTTCTCCGCATTCCATTACAAACTCAAATATAAGACAATTACAATTATAGTTTGAAGGATTACATTTACATAGGCCTCGTCTGTACATATATATATAAATATATACATATATATATTTATGTATGTATACATGTGTTTGTATTTTGCAATACAATACAGTACAACATACAGTATATATATATATATATATATATATATATATATATATATATATATGTACAGACGAGGCCTATGTAAATGTAATCCTTGGTCATGCCCAGCGAATCGATGCACTCGTAGCCTTGTAGGGCATTAAATCTGAGTCGGTTTGCTACGTCGTGCGCTCAATAAATGATTGCTGCTGGGCTGTGAAATAAAATACTAATTAGTAAGGGGGCAATTATAGTTTGGTAACGCCCTGTACAAACTTTTGCGTCGCCGCAATCGATGCTCTCTAGGCCTATTCGGTTTCTCGCCAAAAGCGCACATGGAAATGAGACGCAATTTGTTCTTGTTGCTGTCGCTCGGCGACGTATTTGTTGCAACAATCTGCGAGTGTATTAAGCTAATCAATAAACTAAGCGCACAGGCTATTAGCAGCGCACTAAGCGGATCGGCACTCTTCTACGAGTGCTGTTTATCATCGGCGGCAGCCGTGGTCACATCATCGACAACCGTTGTATTCGTTTCCCGATCGTAGACCAGTGGCGACAGGCGGTTGCTGTGCATGATGTACATATATGGCCCAATTGAGCAGTTGTGTGATGTACAGAACTACAAATAAAAAAACTTATTTGATATAAGCATGGAATGCAAAAGTGCCGCTATGTTAGGGGATGCCAACTTATGAAGAAAGCTAACCTATGGGAACATAAAGATGCCACCTTGTGAAAATAAGTAAAAGTACACATGACGATGAATATTATCTAAAAATGTTATTTATATAAAATAAATAGTTAGTATAGTCGTTAAAACATTCTTCAATTTGTATTATTATCTGTGTATATATAAATATAGATACAATATTTACATTTTTATTGTGAGCACAATTACAAACTATTCATCTCCATGTATAGAAAGAGTGACCGATATTTTAATTATTCACTTATTTTCAGAGATTGACACTTTTATATGCTAGGCTTATAATGGGTTGGCAGGGTCTATTATAACGGTACTTTTATGTATTCAAGAAAACAGCGCAATATATACATATGTTTTTTGCATTAACATAGGATGTTATGAGAGAAATAGAAAAATTCGAATTTCTCATTTCTGCCATTTCACAGTATGATATCTAATATTGCCTGTAAGTTTTTTTGCATTGCATGGGATGTTATGAGAGAAATAGAAAATTGAGAATTTCTCAATATCTGTACCGATGATTTAAATGAAATAAATAGCAAAATAATTGATAAATCGTGCTCTATATATGCACAACTACCGTGCATTTGGGGCCGTTTTCGGAGAAATGAAACAATAAAGTTTAAAATATGGCTGCCATTTAACAGTATGATATCTAATATTGCCAGCATGTTTTTTTGCAATAACATAGGATGTAATGAAAAAAATGGAAAAATGCAATTTTTCCATAAACTGCGCTATTAAGTATGACAATGTTTCTCATTTTTTGCTTTGACTTATTAATTTAATTAACTATGAGTCCTTTCAGTTGTTCATGATTATATATTGGTTTACAATTAGTTAATTTTCTCAAAATCTGTACCGTCCATTTAGTTAAAATTAGTGCCTAAAGCCTAAAGTCACCACCGCTAATTTAACGCACATTTTAAAGTTTGATATATCAGCTGTTTATGTTAACGATACTTTACCATTTTTCACAGCATCGATAGAAATCTCGATTAGTCATCGCTAAATTCACGAAATGTTCGGGGTGAATTTACACATTATTTGCCTTTTTTGAAAGATGAGTGAAATGTGTTATCTTATGGGGAAACACACAGGGCGCGTTTCACACATTTTGCTAAAGTTGGACAGTGGACAAAGGCTTTTAGACAGTGATACTAAATTTAGCTAAAAAAAACGTGCCTTTGAAGCTTTTATTTTTTTTTATTTAGGGTTTACAAACTATGCAATAAACTTATCAATGAAAAATGTATCCTACTCATAGATTTTCTTACCTGTCGGCTTCGCGTGTACACCTTGCGGACAATTACAAAACACTACATCAAATAAGCTCATCACTGATCAGCTGTTTCAATCTAGAGATGATCGATAATGTTATATTTGTGTCACAGTGACAACTGTGACAGTTACATATAACAGCGACTTTTACTTGACCTTTGGGCGCGCAGCAATTTTTTAATATATATAAGGAAACCAATTAAAATTTAATATTGTTAGGCTGTATAACAATTTTTTTTTTTTTATTTTATTAAATTTGTAGGAAACTATAGGATTACTTTTCTTTGAAAATAATGCATTTTGCAAATTTATCGTCGTCAGCCCTAAATAAGGACCAAATTTCATTCGTTTTTTATCCATTTTAAGATAAGGTAAAAACGTTCGCACAAATTTAAACGATTTTTGTAAGTGAGGCTGTGCAGTTGCAAGTTCAAAATAACAGCCAGGTACACATCATTTTCATAGTTCTTAGCTTTGTAGCCAGTACGAAAGGAACAGCCTGAGTACAGGCCTGTGACAAAGTAAAAATAAAAATAAACATTAAAAAGTATATCTTCGTGTAAAGTGAATACAAATTAAGCCATTAGCATTGATCCAGTCATTTGTTATATCGTCGTAGTAATCTCTTTTTCGGTGTCAATCTTTTAAGTAAATAACGACCAAAATGTAGACCCTTGCTTTACTATCTGTGCATGTCATTGGATGATTTTTGTCGCTGTTACTTTTGAAAAGTGTAACAGCAGTAACTAGTTACTTTTAAATACTAAACAGGTTGAGTAAATAGCGCTCGTCCCTAATTCAAGCCATAACAAATTGACAATGACAAAACATGTAACAAATTCTTCTAAATCGCAATCCGACATAAGTAGATGGCTTTTTTGATGTTTCCAAAGCTAACCCACCCTGTGTTTGTTTTATATTCTCATCCTCTTCTTAACTTAGACTCCCTATGGCATCATCTGAACGGCATAGATTTTCCTCCCCTGCATCAGTAAGCTAAAGGTTATAACGTGAGTATAAGTTATAGCATTCACATAAATATGACAATATATAATAGTGCATTCATTATTTTGACAGGTATACAAATATCCAATCACGCGAAATAAGATAACAGAAAGTCAATATGTACACTGACACAACTTCAAATTGAAGCATATATTTTGAAAACAAATGTGGATCAAACGATCCACAAAATATATATTTATCTTACCCGTTGCACACAATATCACATAAGTTTATGGTCTCATCAACTGAGAAATACATAAGTATTCTAATATCGTTTAAAAAATTGTAAACAAACACAGCCTGGAGACAACATCGACATAAGCCGTAATTAAACGATCTTCTTATGACATAAAAATTGAGTCCCAAACATCATTCCACAGTATGACACAGTTAAAACTTCGGCTGATTAAATGCAAAGATATTAGTCCTGTGCGGCCAATCCATTCAATAATAGTTTAAATTCGTTTTGACCGACGACTTTTAAGCATAGGCAACAGCGAGGTCTGAGAACTTAAGTGATACTCGGCCGATAAAGCATAAGCATATATATATTAACTATTGGCATCCTCTTTAATTGAAAATAAATATATTTTTACCGTTAAAAACTTATAACCTTTTTCCACCCATTTAGCACTGTTGCGAATATAAATTTAAAAACAGTTAAATCAAGAATTCAGTTCTTATGTAGGGATCTAAAAATAAGTTCAAAAATTGGTTGACTTGCATTTTCCAAAGATTCTTAGATATTGCAAAAAGTGTGAAATACGTCTCAAATGAATTTTCAAAAAACAAAAGGGTTCGTAGAACCGTTTTCTACTTTACTAAAATTTTTCATTAAATTCTTATGCAGGGTTTTAATACTTAATAAATTGGAAGGCGACCGGACGTAACCTTAAGCTTCGCCCAGAAAACGTGAAACGAATTTTCCACCGAGAATGCTTGGATTATGCAGAAAATGGAAAACACATCTCAGATTAACCTTAAGATACTTTCCACCAAGAAAGGATAAGATCGGATAGTAGCGGTTTTAAGCAATTTTATTAATGGGTGCGTAAATTTGGGCGACTGGCACGGTCTTTGTTTTTTTGGCATGCCTGCGGTGGGCTTGAATGTAACAGGTGGATCGCACTTGTCGCTCGTTTGCACTTTGATATAGAACAAATGCAAGTAATCTTTTATTGGCATTATTATAATCTTAGGTTAGAGGGTTTTATGACCGGCAATTAACGATCAGCATGTATAGCATGCGTCTGGATCCATACCATTTTCATTGCCTTTTTATACATTTGTGCCTTTTGCGGCTGCAAGCCGACTTAAAAATACATATTTTGTACGGAGCCAGCCTCAGTACACAAAATGCATTCATATATCAACAGAAATTTTGGGTAGATCGTGATCTGCGCTAAAAAACTAAGAAAATTGTTTCTTTGCCAGCCTGAGACTTTGCCAGAGCAGTGGATAACAACACATTCAAATTTGCTGTTATGTATGTATATTCACACGCATACAAACATAATTGCTTGCACGGCCCTCATGGCTGAGTGCAAGTTCTATTTTAAGCTTTTTCGTTCTTTCGGCTGTGAGAGCGCAATGCTACAGATTTCGTTTTCGTTCTCAATTTTCAAAAAATCAAGCTGCATAGTAGCATTTTGTTGTATGGCGTTACTCATCTTAGTGTTTTATTGTCTTTGGTGGTGCCATGCCGCCATAACCTAAGACATAGAAACGCAACATTTTTTGTGATATTAAATAATTAATTGATTATTATTAAAACAAACGACTCGACAATTAATATAGCAGATGTAAACTACGATCTTCGGTACTGAACTCTTCCCACACATTGTTGTTATTTCTATGCACTGCTGTGCCTGCGATTCGTAGTCACGTCTTCTGTGCTTCAACTTGAAAGCGGGTGGGTCCACTTTAATTTACTGTTTTATTAATATAAACCATTTTTTTCCAATATGAGAGAAAAATTTCGTATTTACTGTGTAAGTGACATAATTAAAAATAATTGTTCTCTTAAAACAAACGCATTTTGGCTCAAATGTACATGCATGCGTCTGTGAGGGAGAAGTTTTTGAAATTTTGAAGATTACACGGTTTTATTCTGGGCTGACATCACGACTTACGGCTTTTGTGCGCAATAGATAATCTATTATTTGGACATGCCTTCTTACAACATGTATGTACATAAAAACATTATACCCATCTAATAACATAATAATAATGTTGTCTATCCAGGGTTAAAATCATTGAGTGTTTCTTAATGGGTTAAGGGTAAGGCCACTGTCAGCTGATTAACATTCAAAAGTTATCACAGGTGGCAACGCTGGAGGGTCTGACAGCTGCACATAATCTATCTTATTCGCCAAACATTAAATTAAAGTTGGAATGCAACATGTGATACCAGTGTTAGCAAATTTCAATTGTATTTAAATGGTTAATAAACAAGTTATAATAAACATTCTGTGAAATGTAATTGATTTTTCAGCGATAACACATAACGGGGAATAGAAACAGCCACAAAAAAGCTTTTGAAGCTTACTCCCACTTTCGTTCCGTGCTTTTAGTTTCATTGGGTCACTCGAGTGTGGTCGATGTCTCTGTTGCTCTTTGCTCCGTTCTGTGCGTGTACATATGTTTGTATGTATGTTATTGGCGCGAGCGGGTTTCGCAGCAACAACAAATAGTTTACGTATAAATCACATATTTGGTGCATAAAACAATAAGCAATAAGTTAAATAGCATAATAAACTTGTGTTCACAGTTATTTATTATTGATTGCATTCATATAACAAAATACCCAATTCGCAAGGTTTGAAATCCAATTGGATACCAAACCATAAAATTAATGTTATATGTACATATGTATATTTAAACTTAATTTGTTCACTGCACGCGCATAATACGTGCTAATCACAATTGATTAGGCTACAAGTGTGGCAACAACAATAACTACAAAGAGCGTTATCAAAAACGGAAGGTGACAACATCGGGGAACAATAAGCTCAACAATATTGTTTAAGTGATCAACGAACTGTATAGTATGTATTGCATTCGATTCCAAGTTTATATATAGATAAAGAGAATTGTACTTTAAACAGCATACATAACAAATACTTTTTTCCAAAATCAATATATTTTATTCTCATTCTCCATTTTGGGCTTTAGGTTGTTAATTTTGTAACAAAATATCTGCAAGTTTCGCTATGTTCCCTAACACATGAATATATTTTCATCAACATCAGATGAGTATATCAAATAGCTGTCATATGAACGATCTGTCAAGAATCAAACGCTATTAATAAACATTATATTTTTTATGGAAATATTAACCCAACTTGGCATTTACGAATTTTACCATGTTTCTGACGTGTGCGCAGACATTTCAACATCGGGTCCCATATCATATAATTTTATATCTCTATACGTAGGACGATAAATTTGTTTATGTATGAAAAACTTTTCTGTTTATTAACATGTTTTTGGCAAACTCAGAAATTACGAATTTCACTTTTCTAGCAAAACCGAAAGTTAAGGATATTTAATATTTAGCGGGACAAAGATGACCGTTATTTCTTTTTATATCCTTTTAGAAGGTGTTCAAATATTGTCATGAAATGTATAACGCGTAGAAGTAGAATATTCTGACTACATGTATGTATGTATATAAAATTGCTCAGCATCAACAGCTGAGATAACAGAACCATGTCTGTCTGTCTCGAAAAGGAAGTTGGATAAAATTAATGAGTTCTACTATGCTCCTCACATATGTATATACATATGTACATATATGCAAAATCTTATCAACATTGGACCGACCGCTAAGTCATATGGCTGCCATTGGAATAAAGCCTTCTTTTTTTATATACTACTATACTTCACTATGCTGCTTAAATATATATGCTGTACTTATAGAATAACATCTCTACATTTTTATGTTAAAAATTTTAAATTTTTAAATCTCAAATATAATTATATTACTTTCTCAGCCAGCTCACGACAGTGGAAAATTAGCATCTTCCCGTACTATCTTGAACCCCCTGTCTATTTGAAAAAATAAATTAAGGCTATAAAATTTGGAATCCACAATAAGTGAACTTTGAGTTATTAAGCATTTGACCCGAATTCTTCGTCCATGGTGGTGCATTGCGAAATACATGTCAAATAAATTTTTACGAAGATCTTTGAAAATGAGTTTAAAGCTGATCCGAGAGTAAACAAAAAGTTGAAATTACTCTCTTGGAATCTTCAACCTGCATTAATTATCTACGAGAGCGGATTTTACAATAAGTGTGAAACAAGTCTCAAATAAATATTCATATAAATCTCTGCAAATAATTTGAAGGCTATTGGATGGTAACCAAAAAAGTTTCATAGAACAGGTTATTAAATTGATTCCACACTTGCACATGTAATTTCTTAAAAACCGTCTAAACGTCATCACATAACTACAGTTAAAATATCTGTTTCCTAGGTTAGGGTTGTGAGTTGATTATCGATCAGTCAAGGCAAAGGGATTTTATTTAAATATATCTAATTGTATGTGCGTCAGATTAGCGGCGGTGAGTTAGCGTCGACTTTTGGTACTTGGTATCGGAAAAGGAATCGGTCACTTTTAAATGCATTTATTTATGTTTTTAAGCACGAAACCAATAAATTTAAATGCAGAATTGCAAAAAATTAAATTATTTACTATCTACATTAATTTGTTTTTGAATTTTAATTTATAATATGGGTAAACCAAGGGGTTAAAATATTAGTTTTTCACCATTCCATAAATATCTAAATTTAGGGATGATGGCCCCGAAAACCGCATGTATACGATTAAAGCCTATAGTTTCACCTAGCCAACTGTGAACATTTGAATCAAATCGTCGGTACCATTTTTAAGATATTTGGAAAAGAGTGCAACAATCTCCAAGTCAGCCCCATATAAAATGACCGCAAAAAATCAACCTTGTTTTCGAGCCCTTATTTCTTAACTCAGAGACAATGACCCTCAATGCACGGTATACCCTCTTGTAGATACATATTTTAACAAGCTTTAGGCACTAATTTTAAGTAAATGGACGGTACAGATTTTGAGAAAATTAATTAATTGTAAACCAACCTCATACAGTTCATTCAAAAAGTCTATCGAACTGCTAGTTCGTACGTGAACTGAATCACTGCCTGGCAGAAGTGTTGAACAATTTTGTACAGAATTGAGCGGGAACCACTTCAACATGAATTATATGTAATCATGAAAAAATGGAAAGGACTCACAGTTAATTAAATTAATGTCAAAGCAAATTATATAAGAAGTATTAACTCATACTTAATAGCGCAGTTTATGGAAAAATTGCATTTTTCCATTTTTTTCATTACATTCTATGTTAATGCAAAAAAAACATGCTGATGCAGGCAGTGATTCAGTTCACGTATGAACTAGCAGTTCGATAGACTTTTTGAATGAACTGTATGAGGTTGGTTTACAATTAATTAATTTTCTCAAAATCTGTACCGTCCATTTACTTAAAATTAGTGCCTAAAGCTTGTTAAAATATGTATCTACAAGAGGGTATACCGTGCATTGAGGGCCATTGTCTCTGAGTTAAGAAATAAGGGCTCGAAAACAAGGTTGATTTTTTGCGGTCATTTTATATGGGGCTGACTTGGAGGTTGTTGCACTCTTTTCCAAATATCTTAAAAATAGTACCGACGATTTTAATCAAATGTTCACAGTTGGCTAGGTGAAACTATAGGCCTTAATCGTGTAAATGCGGTTTTCGGGGCCATCATCCCTAAATTTAGATATTTATGGAATGATGAAAAACTAATATTTTAACCCCTTTGTTTTCCCATATTATAAAATAAAATTCAAAAATAAATAAATGTAGATAGTAAATAATTTAATTTTTTGCAATTCTGCATTTAAATTTATTTGGTTTCGTGCTTAAAAACATAAATAAATGCATTTAAAAGTGACCGATTCCTTTTCCGATACCAAGTACCAAAAGTCGACGCTAACTCACCGCCTCTAATTTGACGCACATTCTAATTGTTGACGCAAAACCTAACGCAGCACAGTGGAAATTTTCTCCTATGTATCGATTAAACGAATAGCAAATGTGAAGATCACTGATTATTATTATTTTGTTTATTTGTTTTGATCTAATTTATTTTCACAAATAATTGATATCCCATTAATGCGGGATAGTAAAATATACTTTGTGTGTAAATGAGTGTGGCCATATACATACGTAGGCAAATAAATTATAATTCGCCGAACACTGCGTTATATGGCGGAAATCGTAGTTTTGTTTTTATATAGGTACGCAGGAATGTGTAATTATTATATTTATGTATATGTCACGTATAAATGCGTTAATGATGTACATGTAATATGCAATATGTATATGTAAGTATATGTAACAATATAATAATCATTGCTTCACGTGCATGTACATATATACATGTATATATATTCATATGTTGTACAGATCTCAAGATAGCAGTTTCTTCAGGAGTTTATAACTTTAATCATTTTTAGATAATTATGTGGATATATACATATGTACATATATCGATATATGTAATGGTCTAACTTGCCGATTTAACTTGACTATGGAGTTAATAATTTCTCAATATAAGAATGCGAGCATGCATATACGGGATGTACTTGCCGATGGAGTGGCGATATTGGCCACAAAATTTGGCAGACGAAGAGCCAGACTTTCGTAATGGACGGAGCTAGTAAGTTTGAAGTTACTTATTTTAATTGATTTTTGTGGCTATTTTCTGCTTTTGTAGATCTACCGCTGATTGTTGCGTTAACTGAATTTGATTTCTATTTTGGGTAAATTTATTAGGTCCATAGGGCCAAATAATAGTGGTAGGGTTTTTTTTCTTAATTAAAAAAGAAAGTCCAGAATTTATGCCGAAAATCTCGGGTGATCTGTGCTTCTAATTAGGTTCTTTGATATTGATTTTTGAATTGTATATTTGGAGTATATTTTATAGCTGAAAATGTAGTATGTAACTTTTATGTAGCAAGCACAAATCATCACAAACCACAAATCATAGTCCACTGTTGCCGTTAGTAGACTCCGGAGTCGTGAAATGAAATTGCTTGGGTAATTCGGTAAACTTCAGACAGATACAAATCTGCCGTGCGCCTGCAGTGACTTGCAGTGCATTGTATTTTGGATATTATAATTATATCCTTTATTATCCTAAGGTGTTATGGGAAATTTTATGAAACACAGCCTTAAAGCGTAAGATCATTACTGTAACAATTAAACAAAGGATCTCCTAGCCACGTACTCCCGACTTTTACTTGTTGTCGATTTTATTCATTTTGTAAACTTTAAACTCAGTATAAATGGATGTGCCAGGGTATTTTTAAATGGACAATGGAGCAATATGGAACTTGATCAACTGGCAACCGTTTATTTGTATATTTGAACGCGACTTTCCCAGAGACAAACTTGGTTTATATTGCTCTACGGTATTTCCTATTAAACGATAAATATATCTATTCAGCTGCGAGTTGTTAACCAAAGACAGATCACAAAGTTGTTTGTACTTTTTGTCCGCACATAAAAAGTGATAATCATAAAATTATACAAAATAAACATCATCTGCAATGCCGATTCTAGATCGTGATTACTTTTCTTTAAGTAGATTAACATATATGTCATAATTGAATATAAATGTGTTTTACATTTAACTTGACAGTTCATAAGAGTGCTCTAGTTGGGACTACCCGACAGGGGATACCCTGTAGCTTCTTCTTTCCCAGGATACATACTATCATTAATGAAAATAAATGAAACGGAAACGATAAAGTTCGGCACTTCAAAGATTTAACAGCCTTGTAGACCTTTCCTTTTTGCAAATATGTCAGAATCGTGAAATTCGAAAAGGTTAAGTGTGATGAAAATATATTGATAAGCAGAATATTTTGCAGCTATAATGTGATCCGAGGTTGCTAGGGTTTTGCATATAACGAGGATCATAATGGAACTAGTAAATCCCGAGTTTGGTCAAGTTATTTTAT